GACCAAAATAGGTGAGACAAAGTCTGACCATTCTTGCTTCCAAGGAGCATTTCAGTTGCACTTCTTCCAGGACAGATTTGTTAATTCTTCTGGAAGTCCATAGTACTTTCAGTATTCTTCACCAACACCACAACTCAAAAGCGTCACTCTTCTTCGATCTTCCTTATTCATTCATTGTCCAGCTTTCACATAAAAATGAGGATATTGAAACTACCATAGTTTAGGAATAAATCTACATATATACCCTATTAGGAGCTCTGGTGGCATAGTGCCTAAGGCATTTTACTGCTAACCAGAAGACTGGTAGTTCAAACCTTCCAGCCACTCCTTGGAAGGAAGACTAGGCAATCTACTTCCATAGAGACACCACCTTGGACTCCCAAGGAGGGGTTGCTATGAGTCGGAATTGACTCAACGACAATGACTGATATATCCTATTAGTTGTGTTACTCTGAAGAATCTTGACTCATATCAATTTGGGTACTGAGAGTGGTTCTAGAGGAACAGAGTCTTATGGATGAATTTTCTGAACTGATTCCGGAGTTTCTATAATTATTATTCCAATATGATTAGATCCCTGATGGCACAGTGTCTGTGTCTGTGTCTTGACTGCTAACCAGAAGGTTGGTGGTTCAAACTTATCAGCCGCTCTGAAGAAGGAAGATGGGGAAATCTATTTCTGTAAAGACTGACTGCCTTGGAAACCCAACGGAGGTCATTGTGAGTTGAAATTAACTCAATGGCAGTGACTTTGTTTTTTTTTTGTTTTGGTGGGGGTGATGATGCTACCTCCAGGGGTAAAGAGGGCTCTGACAATCAATGTTGTGATATAGCAAGACAGATAAGCAAAATATCACCACTGGACACTCCTAATCAAATACTTATTAAAAAGACAACGTTCTGAATGACTATATATTTGATATTGTAGAATGTTCTTGTCAAATTAATGAGTATGATGAGATTGACTGGAAGTTCAAAATTATACTGATGAAAGTAGGGAAAGAAAAGCTTTTAAATTCCCAGCTCACATACTGTAAAACTGACCTGAAAGATTCCAGTCTGCCTTAAAACTTATCTCCTACAGCCACAAAGCTGAGATTTCTAAAAACCAAAACCAAGCTCTCATCTTGTGAGTGTCTGAATTACAATGCAAAATGAATTCCAACTGTATTCCAATACAGGCTGTCTGCTGTTAAAGTGAGGGCACTGATTGGGAAGGAATGAGGTCCTGAAAAATGGAATAGTGACATATGGGAAAATTCTGATAAAAATAGAGAAATAATAAGAAACACAAACAATAGGAAATACCCTATTTTTATGTATTATTATTTTATATATGTACTTAAATTTTATTTATAATTTATAACACATTTATGATTTCTAATTATATATATTTATATATATGTGTGTGTATTTATATATATAATAATGAAATCAGAATCTATGGGATACATTTAAAAACATGGTTTCTAATCATTCCTATAAAATTTTTTACCATGACCAGCAAATTCTTACACAATCTACTGTTTAACTCATCTGTAATTACTTTTTCCCTCACTAACAGTGCTCCAAACCATACTGAGCCCCAAGCTTATTTCCTCTGTTAGGGTCTTTGTATTTGCTATTCCCTCTGCTTGAACTGATCTTATATCACCTCCTTAGGAAAGCCTTCCCTAACCACACTATTAGAATTAGCTCTCCCCTTCAGTCTCTATCCTCTAATCCTCCTTACTTTTTCTTTACAGCACGTAACACTACCTATGACTTTCCATTTATTTGTTTACTAGTTTATTACACGGGAGCTCTGGTAGCATAGTGCCTAAGGCACTTGACTGCTAACCAGAAGGCTGGCGGTTCAAACCCACCAGCCACTCCTCGGAAGGAAGATGGGGCAATCTACTTCCGTAGTGATACTGCCTCGGAAACCTAAGGAGGGGTCACTATGAGTCGTGTTCGACTCAACGGTACATAACAACAACAACAACAATAGTTTATTACACATCTCACCTACTAGCATGTCAATTCCAGGAGGGGAATATGTGTATCAGTCTTGCTCACTAATGTACTAACATAGCTAGCACAGTATCTGGCTCAGTGTAGACATCAAATAAATGCTGAGTATATGAATAACCATACTTTGTCAATTTAGATATACAGATGTCTAAATTCAAAACAGGAACTAGAATATAGTTGGTGGCATGGGATGATCTTAATATGTTTCCCAGGTATCAAAACTTCTTTTTTCACAGGCCTTTGATGGGAGGCTCTGAACATCACAGATGTCCACCTCCTTGAGCAGGTATCCCTGTTTTTTTGTCACATTCCTTGAAAGCCTCCAGAGCTTCTTCTTTTAGGTGATCACAACTGACTTAGATACTGCTCACAATAAAGAAATGTGACACAATTTATAACATAAAGTTATGAGAATTATAACCAATTCTAAAAAACACTTTGAGAATTTCTTAAACTTTTAATAAATGAAATAAAAATAATATTGGTAAAGACTTCAGAGAAAATAAATATGAGAGAATTGAAAGAATATTTACCTTAAAGTGTCCACAGAAGTACAAAGCATAAAGAGACAGACAGGAGAAGAAAGGTCTAATTTAATTTAAATTCATGTCAACTCCTTGTCTTGAGAGGCAGTATAGTGTAACAGTTAAGAATACCAGCTTAGGTGCTAGATTGCCTGAATACAAAACCTGTTTGTGATACCAATTGGCTGTGTAATCTTGTGGAGTTATCTAAATACAACGTTCTTACCTCCTGCCATTTACTCTTAAATTTTGAAGAGTAAGGTGAATTCTATGGATTGATTCATCTATAAAGAAAAGAGATCCTTTGATAATAAGAATAAATTAGGACATTGTCTTAACTGTTTTCCCTAAAGGTGGATAGGAAACATAAAAATCTACAGCAATTCTGAGTGCAAATAAAATACTGTATTTCAATGGTTATGCCGTATGTGTCCTATAAGTCAAACCCAGATCCCTGGGTATCAAAGAAGTTCGAAAGAGATATAAACATCATAAAGAATGGTGAAGACACTTAATGAAATTATCATAGTGCCTAAGGCACTTGACTGCTAACCAGAAGGCTGGCAGTTCAAACCCACCAATCACTCCTCGGAAGGTTGGGCAATCTACTTCCGTAGTTATACTGCCTCGGAAACCCAAGGAGGGGTCACTAGGAGTCAGGTCTGACTCCATGGCACATAACAACAACAATACAACAAAGCCTAACCTACTTTGAACAGGGAAACATTTATCTAATCTGTTAAAAGATAGCCTTGAGGTTCACTGAATTATCAGCTGATATTCCAGAAAGTACATTCAAAATTATCTAAAGTAGATAAATTTACCCAGTGAGACCAGGTTGCTATAGTTCTCCATCATCACATCCCAGTACAAGTCCTTCTGAGAAGAATCCAGATATTCCCACTCCTCCTGAGAGAAGTCAATGACCACATCCCTGAATGCCACCAATTCCTGAAACAACAAACCCATATGCTATGGGTAAAACTGATGGAAATATTTTTGATAAAAAGAAGAAATAAAGAACTGCATTACAAAATTGGGAATAGATAGTAAACAAGTAGGCCAGGGGTAGAAGTACATGATATAGAAAGAAAATCAGTGCTTCCAAACGAGACTATCTACATGTCTTTGAAGAAATCTAGTTTATTCAGAAATATATTCCTACATACTATGAAATATCTTAATTATCCAAATATGTCTTTGTGCAAATGAAAAGAAAAAATGTATAAATTCACATTGCATGCTATGTACCTGCCTCATGAATTATAAATAAAGGTGACTTTTGACATTTCTTTCCATTGTACAGGAAAAGTCACTATCATAGAAAATAGGGTAGGTATGCACAAAATTTTAAAACTTCTTGTAGTCCCAAATTATGCCAAGTACCATTATTTCAGATTACATTATAATTATTCCTTCTACTGTCAAATTACTTAGTAAATGTCTTTTAATGACTACAGAATAAATTACTTGGTGGAAATATATCAGCCTATATTCATGGTTAGACATTTACACTGGACAAGATCCTCCCCAGTTTTCTAAGTCTACAATCATCTATAATTTACTTATGACTGAAGGCCAAAAACAAAAACAAAAAAGGAGCTCTGGTGGGGTTTAGTGCCTTCTGCTAACCAGAAGGCTGCCGTTTCTAACCCACCAGCCACTCCTCAGAAGGAAGACTGGGCAGTCTACTTTCATACAGATACCACCTCGGAAACCTAAGAAGAGGTCGCTATGAGTCACAAACAATCATCTACTATTTACGTATGACTGAGGGCAGTCATGCCAAATCCAATTTACCTGTAAACTCAGGTCTATGGAGAAGTTCAGAGTCGACCCATGTGTTGCCAAATGTATCCATCTGCTCTTTTTTCTCTGTCCAAGAATATGAGAAATGATGGTAAAATGCCTCCATCTAGGGATTTCACTTCTGCTCTAAAACTGATCTTGACAAAAGACTGAGTACATAGCAATGTGGAACGTTATGTGGAGACTGCGCACAAACATGGGAGGCACACTGTACCATTTGGCTCCAGACATGACTAGAAAGTGAAAAATGGGATGTGGAGCAAGCTATTTATTAGGACTGATTGGTAGGAAGTTTCAGAAAAATGAAATGTTTAAAAAGTGTATATGATGTTATGTAGGAAAAAGAGAGAAATAACAACTTACATGGTCCATGGGGAAAACTGTAAAGAGTTGGTCAAGGAGTTCCATTTCTGGCATGACAGTGTGAGGTGTTCCGCTGATGTGCTGTCCAGCAAAACTGGTAAAAAATTATTTTAAAAAACATTTAAATTCTCGGAAAACATCCCTATTGGCATACAGCAAATAAAGAAACATTTATGAAAGAAAATCTACTAAAATTTGGTAAGAACTGAGAGAATCTATAGTATTTGAACTGAGACCTGTGCTCTCCTTCCCAACTCCCACATTAATAAGATAGACATCTACTCTAGACTGGTAATTTCAAGAACACAACTCCCATTTGGAGGGTTATCTTCTAAGGAGAGACAAGACATAAGCATTTCTTATCCTGCTTACAGATAACTGATACTGAGAATTAGTTCCAGTAAGTGTGCCAAGAGGTGGGTCTTCCTTTTCCTACCCAGCCTTTACTCATGGACGTAGCACCACTGAGCATACTGGGCCTGTGATCATCCTTGCCCCAGCTTGTAATGTAAGTACAACACTTACAATTGATAATTCCAATGAATTATCAAACCCCAAAGAATTGTAGGAACCAGTAAGTCAGAAGTTACAAAGCCAAGGGAGAACTCCTAAGCTTGTGGCTGGCATCTGCCTATTTGGTAATCTGAAGGATGGTGTCCTTTTAATTTGTGAGATCTGAATTAGCTCTAGGTGGGTAAGGTCAGAGAAGGAAGTGCTGTGTGTTATATCTGGTTTGACAGAAGTAAAAAGTGGAGGTTTGATTTATATTGATTATTATCCTAATAGTCACTAAACAGGCAAACAAGCAAGTATCAAACTCTGGACATGGAGATTAGTACCCAGAGTTGCTATAACATATTACTAAAAATATCCAATTTATAGCAACAACAAAAACTATGATATGCAAAGTATGGTGGTTAAGTTTGTGTATCAACTTGGCTAGGCCTGGTTGAGTGGCTGAGCAGCTGGATACAGTATTCCCCATGATGGGACTGGTAATCAACTCCATGGCGGAATCTACTGTGAGCAGCTGAGTAGCTAGCTGCCTTTGGGTATGTGGTCTGCTTCCCATATATAAGAAACAGCTCTGGGAATGGTCTCTAGCTTATGGCACGCTTGAACCCTGCATGTAGCTATGTCATTGTTCAGCAGCCTGCCATGTTCTGCTGACCTTTGGACTTTCAATGGACTTGAATTAATGGCCTGCCATGTGGTTCAGTGGGCCAGGAGCAACAGGCAGAGTTGAAGTCCAAGGTCAAGGGGCTTTCACACAGCCCCTAGAGCCTGGCACTTTGAACTCGGATTTCTATCCTCCTGAACTGTAAGAGAATAAACCCATTTTTCAGCCATCCCATTTGTGGTACATTCCTGTCAGAGCGGCACTAGGTAACCAGAACACAAAGAAAAAACATGACTCATATATGAGGCAAAAAAAGCAAGGGGCAAAAACAAATAAATAAATAAACAAACCCTACTTGTGAGAGCAAATAAATGTCATATTTAATAGACAGAAACTTTAGAGAATTCATTATAAATACATTCAATGAACTAAATAAAACCATGGTTAAAGAAGTTAAGAAAAGTATGATGACAATGTTGCATCAAATGAATAACACTAATAAAGAGGAAGAAATTATAAAATAAGAACTCAATGAAAATTCTGGAATTGAAAAGTACAATAACTAAAATAAAAAACTTACTGTATGGTTTTAGCAGATCTGAACTGGTAGAAGAAAAAATCAGTGAATTTGAAGACAGATTGATAGAGATTATGAAATCTGAAGAACAGTGAGAGAAAAAAGAAGAAAAATGAACAGAGCCTCAGAGAAAGGAGGGATAATTAAACACACAGACATATGGGTAATAGGATTACTAAAGGGAGAGGAAGGAGAGAGAGGAAGAAACAGAAAAAATAATGAAGTAATGGCTGAAAACTTCCCAAACTTATTGAAAGATATTTATCTACACATCCAAGAAGCTCAATGAACTCTAAGAGATCTGCAAATAACATCATAGTAAAAAAACAAAACAAAAGAAAAACAACAGTGCTGAAAGCCAAAAACAAGGAGAAAATCTTCAAAGCACTAATGAAAAAAGGATACTTCATTTACAAGGGAACTTCAATAAGATTAACAGCTGACTTCTCATCAAAAACAACAGAGATCAGAAGGCAGTGAGAGAACATATTCAAAGGCCTCAAAGCTTATTTTTTTTAAAAAAAAAGCAATGAAACTGTCAACCAAGAATCCTGTATTCAGTAAAGTTATCTTTCAAAGATGAAGGCAAAATAAAAGTATTTCCAGATAAACAAAAACTAAGAGGAACTATTACCTTTAAGACATGACTTACAAGAAATACTAAACAAAGTTCTTCAGGGTGAAAGCAAAAGACTCTAGACAGTAATTCACATCCACAGAAAAAACAGAGCAGGGGTAAGGTAATTACATTACTATAAAATACAGTATAAATGCATACGTCTTCTCTTAGATTATTTAAAAAGCAATTATATAAAACAAAATATATACAATACATTGTTGGGACTCTAACATATAGTAATATAATTAATTTACCAATAACAATGAACAGGGTAAATGGAAGTAAAGCTTTCTTGCGATAAGGAAATTACTTCAGCTGGTAACTCAAATCCACAGGAACAAATGAACAGAATGAAAAATTGTAAGAAAGTTAATATAACAAGAGATATAAATACATACTTGCTGTCCTTTCTTCTCTTAAAGAAATATAAAATTATATAAAATAATAAATGACCACATGTATTGTTGGATTTGTAACATTTATACATGCAATATGTGTAACAATAATATCACAAAGGAATAGAGCTATGAAGGAATGACCTTTGTTTATCTCACTGGAATTAAGTTAGTATAAATCTGAAGTCATACTGATAAATTAAGATATATATGGTAACCCCTAGAGAAAATATAAAAGAAATAATGCCAAATATGTAGTTACATATATATATATGTATATATATATATATATATACACATATATATAAATTAAAACACTATAGTAAAAAATATTCATTTAATAAAAAAGAAAACAGTAAAGGAAGAACAGAGGAACAAACAAACCAACCCCATGAGACATACAGAAAACAAAAGGTAAAATGGCACACATAAATCCAACTATATCAATAATAGCATGAAATATGAAAGGAATAAACAATCATATCAAAAGGCAAAGATTAACTGGGTTAAAAGACAAAATTCAACTCTATACTGTAAAACATTGTATCCAATATAAAAATATTGTAGATTCAAAGATAAAAAATAAGTTGAAAGCAAATAGTTGGGAAAAATCATATCATGAAAATAGTAACCGCGAAAAACTTAGAATGTCAAACTATACTTTAACAACAACAACAAATGTTACTAGAGATAAAGAGGGGCGTTTTATAATGATAAAAGTGTCAATCTGGGAGCATGGTAATGGATTTACGGCTAGTCTTTCTATGCAGGTTTTTTCATAGTATATTCATGCCAGAGTAAACTGCAGCCTTAAACCATTGTCCACACACCCTACCCCAGGGCCATGGGCACTGTAGGGAGTTGCACAGTGTGAAAAGAAAAAGAAATGCCATGAGTAGACCTTTCTTTCATAGGACAAGCAAAAATTAGAAACATGTAACAGACATAGTATAACATTTATTCATATTTTGCTTTTTTTTCCAAAAAGAAAAAATGTGTCAATCCATCAGGAAGACATAATACTCATAAACATATATGTATATATATCTAACAAAAAAACAAACTACATAAAGCAACAACTGACAAAAATGAAAGGAGAAATAAACAAACAGTAACAGTTGGGAACTAAATAGCCCATTTTCTGTAATGGATATAATAACAACTACACATAAAACCAACAAGAAAATAAAAACCACTATAAACCAACTCAACCTAACACATCTATAGAACACTCCACCCAACAACTAGAGAATATACATTATTCTTAAGTGCCATAGAATATTCTCTAGCATACACCATATGCTAAACTCCAAAACCAAATTCCCTGCCATCAAGTCGGATCAGATTCACAGCAACCCCTCCTTGGGTTTCCAAGGCAGTTTCACTACAGAAGTAGATTGCCCAACCTTCCTTCCAAGGACTGGCTGGTGGGTTTGAACTGCCAGCCTCCTGGTTAGCAGTCAAATGCCTTAGGCACTATGCCACCAGAGCTCCCAACATATGCTAGGTCATTAAAAAAAAACAAAAAAAAAACAATAAATTAAAAAGAATTTAAATAACAAGAAGCATATTCTTTGTAAACAATGGAATAAAATTGGAAATTCATATCAGAAAGAAATGTGGGAAATTAACAAATACAGGGATATTAAGAAGCACATGACTACTACTTAGGAGCCCTGGTAGTGCAACAATTAAACACATGGCTGCTATCGGCAATGTTACAGCTCAAATCCACCCAGTGGCTCTGTGGAAAACCTGATCTGCTTCTGTAAAGATTGTGGCCAAGACAATTCTATAGGGCAGTTCTACTCTGTCACATGGTGTCACTATGAGGCAAAAATCGACGCAAAGGCACCTAACAATAACAACTACTGAATCCATTTCAACTCACGGCAACTCCACATGTGTTAGAGTAGAACTATGCTCCATAGTTTTCCAATGGCTGATTTTTTAGAAGATTGCCAGGATTTTCTTCCAAAGCACGTCTGGGTAGACTCAAACCTCCAAATGTTTGGTTAGCAACTGAGATACCAAGCATCAATGTTAAATGCTTGCACCACTTAGGGAATGCAAAAAGCAAACCATTAAATAACTAATGGACCAAAGAAGAAATCAAAAGGTGAAAAAAAAAAAAAAAAAACTGAGATGAATGAAAATTAAGACACAATATACCAAACTTAGACAATGCATCTAAACCAGTGCTGAGAGGGGAATTTATATCTGTAAATGTTTATATTAAAGAGGATAAAAGATTTCATATCAGTATCTTAAAGGTTCCGCTTAAGACATAGCAAAAAAGAGCACCTTAACCTAAAGCAAGTAGAAGGAAGGAAATAATAAACATTAGAATGAAAATTAATGAACTACAGAATAGAGAACAATAGAAAAACACCAACAAAACCAAAAGCTAGTTCTCTGAAATGATTAACAAAATGCACAAGCTTTTAAGAAGACTGGTCAAGAAAAAAAAGAGAAAAGACTCAAATTCTAGAATCAGAAATGAAAGAGACATTTCTATTGACTTTACAGAAATAAAAAAAAAATTATAAAGTAACCCTATAAATTCCCAGAGAGACAAAAGCTATAGAAATTGACTCAAGAAGAAACAGAAAATCTGAACAAACAAACAATATCTTTAACAGGTAAAGATATTTAATTAGTAATCAAAGCCACCCAACAAGAAAAACCCAGAATCAGATGGCTCCACTGGTGAATTCTATCAAGGATTTAAAAGAGATTTAAAACCAATCTTTCTCAAACTCTTCCAAAAAATGGAGAGAGAACATTTCCCAATTGATTCCATGAGGCCAGTATTACCCTGATAGCAAAGCTAAAGAGATGTCACAGGAAAACTACAGAAAGATATCTCTTAGGAATACAAACAAAAATATCTCACCAAAATAATAGCAAACTGAATCCTGCAACATAGAAGATGGATTATTTACCATGATTGAATGGATGTATGCTAGGAATATACTGTTAATTTGACATTTGAAAATCAATCATTGTAATACACCACATGAGTAGGATAAAAACAAAATCCATATGATCATTTCAACAGATAAAGAAAAAGCGTTTGACGAAATCCAACACCCCTGATTAAAATCCAGACATGATTAAAAAAACAAACTAGAAGTAGAAGGAAACTACCTCAACCTGATAAAGGGCAATGGCAAAAAACCATCAGGGGCTCTGGTGGTGTAGTGCCTAAGGCACGTGACTGCTAACCAGAAGGCTGGCAGTTCAAACCCATCAGTCACTTCTCAGAAGGAAGGTTGAGCAATCTACTTCCATAGTGATACTGCCTTGAAAACCCAAGGAGGGGTCACTATGAGTCAGGCCCGACTTGACAGAAAATAACAACAACAACATCATCCTTAATGGTAAAAGACTGGATGCTTTCCCCCAAAGAAAAGAACGGTACAAGGATGTTCACTCTCACCTCTATTCAACATGATATTAGAGGTTCTAGCTAGGGCAATTAGACAAGAAAAATAAATAAAATGCATCCCAATTGGAAATGAAGATGTAAAACCATCTATCCACAGAGAACATGATTTTGCATATAGAAAACCCTAAGGAAGCCACTAAAAAACTATTAGACCTAATAAAAGAGATTAGCAATATTCCAGGAAATACGATCAATAAAAAAACAGAATACATTTTATTTCTATATACTTGCAATGAACCATATAAAAATGAAATTACAAAAACAATTCCACTTACAACAGCATCAAAAGAATAAAATACTTAGGAACAAATTCGACAAAATAACTGTAAAATTTGTCCACAGTCAACTGATTTTTTGGTAAGAGTACCAAGACCATTCAGTGGGGAAAGAATCATCTTTTAAATAAATGGCCCTGGTTCAACTGGATACGTACATGCAGTAGAATGAAAATAGATTGTTAATTTATATCATATACAAAAGTAAGCTCAAAATGGCTCAAAGTCCTAAATGTAAGAGATAAAATCATAAAACTCTTAGAAGTAAACACACAAACAAAAAAAAAACCCACTGCCAACAATTTGCTTCTGACTCATAACGACCATTTAGGACAGAGTAT